GGGGGGGGGGGGTTTGGGTGAGAAAAATAGAGGGACTGTAATAACATCACTGCAGCTCGCGTTTACAGCGCGCGTTGTACCAGTAACATAGGCATTTGATTGGTCATTAGACAATAGATGGTAATTTGCATTGACAACTCGTTTAGTTTAAGTTACCGACACTGACAAGGCGTTGATAAGTCGTTCTTTTCTATAAAACATACACTTTTATAATACCATAAGGCACATCTTGCGCAAACACACAAAGAAATTTTGGCTTTTCGTGGATGAATCACATAAGCCAACATGCTTTTGAAGCATCCCGGCCAGGGGAATGTTTTAACACCACAAGAAAGACGGCCTGTCAGAAATGCCTGGCTTTTTAGCGGGAGGTTGAATTGTGTTAATCTGTGGTGAAATGAGCATGCTTAACGCTTCGATTAGGAAAATGTTTCACCTGTGCATGTTTGCCGATATTATTTAGAGGAATGGAACGCACAATATTGATGCTAAATGTGTCTGGCATGTTTTTCATCGCCAGCAGAGTTTCTTAATTAATGAATAGTAAAAGGCGTGAAATTCCTGTCATGCCTCCTGAACACGAGCTACAGCGATGTTATTACAGTCCCTCTATTTTTCTCACTTCCTCCCAAACCACCCCTGCCCCCTTAGTAGTTTTGACACTCATGTTAGATGGCAACCCGCAATGCATAGCACTCAATCTACATGATCTTATGGGAAAATAGGGGACTGTGAACAGTCTACTGACACACTTGTTTACATCAAAATACTTTCATCCTTAAAATGAGTTTACCTCTCTGAAACTCAGGTGTGCCCAGTAACGTAAGGCTTTAGGAGCTCGCTAGGCCTGCCGGAAGAGATCGGAAAACGTGTTGTATTCTTGTTAGCAAAACGTTATGAGTGCAAGCCTTGTGAGTCTACGGAATCTGCAAAATCCTGTGTAATCGTAGAGAAATTGGAGTGTTGTAAGAAACAAGCCTCAGGCCTGGAATAAATACAGTTCAGCTCAAATTTGTCTACACTCAGGTCTGTAACGTTCCCATCTTCATAGCAGCCATGACCTTTTCCTATTCATTGGCAGTTTCATGATGAGAAGGAAGCTTATTTAAGCTGATATTCTTCATATAATAGTTGTCATCCTTCAAGTGTTTCTTTTTTTTGCTGTTCTTGCTGTGTTTTTGAGGCAGTACTTGGGTTATTCACATAATGACTCAGTCAATTCCAAGTGTGCCCATCCCCCAACTTGGGCATTTATCAGGCATGTTGTTTCAGAAAGCTGCAAATACCACGTGGTGGGGCCAGAGTTTTTAAACCTGATAATACACTCCTGCAACTCATTCTTGCACTTATATTTAGATAAGGCGGAACTTATTTTGTTTAATAAACTGGAGGCAAAATTTAGCCGTGTCTTTATCAGTTTGAGCATATTTGAATCTCAAATCGTGGGGAGGGTTTTCAGAATACTAGCCTGGAACAGCCTGGCAGTCTCTCTCTGCTTATCATGGAAATCTGAACTTATCCAATATCTGGTACAACTACGACTCTTTCCACTTTGGCATAGAAATCAAAATTTCTAAACAAACATCAATTCACATAGAAGAATTTTTGAAGAATATTCTTGAAAATTGGTCATGAATATCAGGCTGACGGGTGATCTAGTTGTTTAAAAACATTTACTGGCTGCAATAATGAAGGTATCAAGACACAGCATTTTAAAGTCCTCTTATTTTGGATATGTTGTACATGTACATTACATTCTCCTTGATCTTTCTCGAATTTCAAAACTGGAACGCTCCTAAAAAGGCTTAAAGGGCAAGCAGAACTGATCGCAAACTGTGCGTTTTTATACAGTGCTCTTGCGACCTTTTGCGGAAATAGTCCATGTTTGTCTGAGTCTTGGTAGGGGTCATGTTTTTGTGATGTCATCTATGCCTAGTGCTATTAAAGTGCGTTACATTAATTTTAGTGAGTGGGGCTTAAAAACAGGGTGAAAATGCCCCACCTGGGACAACACCAAAATTGCATTTTCCATTAAATAAGCAGCAAATACTATTTAAATTTATGGGAAATCTTTAATAATCTGAGCAAAATGCATCATGAAGCACCCTACACAAATTGCTCCTAGCTGCTAGTTATAAATTATTGCACAAAACATCACATTGATTTGTTTAATACCAATGACAGAACTATAAACTAGTCGGTTTTGGTCACGCTTGGAATTGACTGAGCTACATGTATAACATGTGAAATCGTTTGCCATTTTCTCCAGCTCTGCCCTTACAAAGAGCTCATAAGATTTTAAGGGCAAGCAAATAAGTACAAAAATGAATAAAAAAGGTAATAATTCCAGGCAAGCAAAATGCAAGCCTGCAAATGTATTCTTAGAGGGGCAATGGTCAGTGGCACTTTACAAGCTGTACAGTGAGGTTTTTGCAAAAAACTGTCAACATTCTTGGGATGCCTTTGTTGTACCAATTAATATGCATGTTACATGGCTGCAAAGGTATGGTGTTGAGTTTAAGGTCCATTAGATGTCCCCGTAGTAATCACATAAATGTAAATTTCCGCAGCAAATGCAAGGTTTGGTTTGTAAACAAANCAATGACAGAACTATAAACTAGTCGGTTTTGGTCACGCTTGGAATTGACTGAGCTACATGTATAACATGTGAAATCGTTTGCCATTTTCTCCAGCTCTGCCCTTACAAAGAGCTCATAAGATTTTAAGGGCAAGCAAATAAGTACAAAAATGAATAAAAAAGGTAATAATTCCAGGCAAGCAAAATGCAAGCCTGCAAATGTATTCTTAGAGGGGCAATGGTCAGTGGCACTTTACAAGCTGTACAGTGAGGTTTTTGCAAAAAACTGTCAACATTCTTGGGATGCCTTTGTTGTACCAATTAATATGCATGTTACATGGCTGCAAAGGTATGGTGTTGAGTTTAAGGTCCATTAGATGTCCCCGTAGTAATCACATAAATGTAAATTTCCGCAGCAAATGCAAGGTTTGGTTTGTAAACAAATGCAATTCAGGTGTACACAAACTGTGCTAATGCAAGACTTTTTGATTCACCTTGCCTAAATGTGGGCTTTTTTGAAAACTTCCTAATCCCTCATTTTCAACTTATTTGTTAGGGGTTTTAACAGCAGCATAAATACCCACTTTTTCCTCTAAATAATGTAAAGCAAACTTGTGTCATTTCCCAAATAATTTTGTGAGCAGACAACTGGAATGGCTTTTGATTTATTGCAATAATATTTAATATAAGGTTTTTTATGTCTTTGATTGTAAAGACCAGTAGTCCTCAAATCAATTGGATATGTTTAGTTTATAAGGTTTGATGATTTAGCATTTATCCTGCTCAAGCAAGTATGTTCTTTTATTGGTTGATTTTTTTATGGTAAATTTCTTCTCATGCCCCCTTAGGAATATTGCAACCCTGCACTATGCAAGATATCCTTTGTCAATACTATTGGTAAATACTCTTTGGCTATACAAGAGAGAATCCTGTATTATAATGATGGAAAATATTCTAGTCATTTGCCACCATGCCTTTACATGTCAATCATTTTATTACAGCGTGATTTGTAAGCTTCAATATGTCTTACCCTCCTTATGGTGGTGGACCAGGGTATCCGCCTGCTGGGGTAAGTAGTCATAAAATGTTATAGCATAAACATGGGGAACAAAACATTGCAATTTGTGGAGGTGAGGGGTGGGGATGCTACAATTTATTTTTCATCTATTTGTGCCACCATTTCATACAACAAATTAGAACATCACATTCAGTTTGAGACAAATTTATTATGATACCATTACTGTTTTTTCACCATCTACAGTTGTGTTCAACAGAAACATCTTGGACTTTTAATGACATTAATTTTTTTTTAATGTTGTTCATTTTTCAGCCTGGTTACCCCCCTGGTCCAGGATACCCTGCACCTGGTTATCCTTCTGATCCAGGCTACCCTCCCACTGGGGGGTACCCACCTGCTGCACCAGGATACCCACCTGCTCCTGGTGGCTATCCTCCTAGTTATCCTCCTACTGCTGGCGGATATCCACCTCCCCCAACGGGAGGTTATCCACCAGCACCAGGTACAATCTTACTTGTTTATATAGTAAATATTGAACAATGGCGACAGTATACATTAAGTTATGAAACTTGTTCGAAGATCTGTGTATACCATCAGTCAAAGTTAAGTTTATTATTACAATGTAGCTTAGCTATGAGTAACCCAAAAGGCTGGAGTTCAATCCAGTTTCTGAAGCTCAAAGCATTAACTGGGGTAGTCCACAAGATCATCTCTGTCATTTTTCCAAAGTACACGTAGCATGTGCAAACACTGAGCAGACAAAGTGTAATTATCACACCCCTCACCTGATGGGTTCGAGTGAAGCAGCATTGAGATACTAAACGTTAGAGTTACATGTACACCTGGTTTGAACTTTTGATCTTTGGGCTGGGGTAAATTTCCTTACATCTATCTAGCACACAATTTACTGTCTGCAAAGCTCAGCTAATCAGTTTCCTTTTGTTTTCATTTTTTGACATGACCCTCTTCTACAGTTGGAGAGAAAATTTGAGACACTTTGTGCTAAAGGGCCTTTCTGACATTCTGCCAAAACATTCCCTCCTCCACCCACCTCCAAGCAGCGTTTTGCTGCTGTTTGAGCTACCGGTAGAAAACAAAAAATGCCCCAACTTTGAATGGAAGGGACAGGGGATAGGTACATGTACAGTGTATGTGTTGTTTTGTTCTCAAAAGTACCCTATTTGAGGACTTTGTTTCAAATACTTTGTCAGAATTGTACATGTAGCTATGCTAACTGTGGGTTGCTAGCTTTGTTTTAAAAGCCAAAATTACTAGCTATTGTTGTTATTATCAGAGTCAGTGCTCAAGACTGCCTGAGGGTAGCCAACTACTTGTAGCCATGTTCAAAAGTCAGTTTGTTTCCATGAAGCAATGTTTTTCTCTCTTGTCTTTCAAGGTATGATGCCAGGGGTTATACCTGGAGGACCACAGCCTGGTTATGGTGGCGGAGGAAGTTCTTATGGAGTGCCACCCCCAGTAGGTGGATATGGAGCTCCACCTCCAGCTGGGGGATATGGTGCCCCACCTCCTGCCAGTGGGTATGGTGCCCAACCCCCTGTCAGTGGGTATGGTGCCCCACCTCCTGCTAGTGGATATGGAGCACCACCCCCTGCTAGTGGATATGGAGCCCCACCTCATAGTGGTGGGTATGGAGTACAACATCAACCTCCACAGCAGAGCTATTCTCCCTCTCAAGGTATTGGGCATTTTTTATCTTTTTTGCAGATTTAAAGATTGTTTTAATATTATAGGATTCCATGAGTAGATTTCAGATCAATGTATAATCAAAAAAAATTCGTAAAACTTTGTGGTTTTTGTTTGATTTAAATATAATTATGAGTATGATAACAGAAATGAACTGGGATCCACAAAGCCCTGCAGTTACAATAATGATAAATCAGACCTGATACAGGCACAGCAGATTTTAGAAAGCAGAGTTGTATTACCGTAAGTAACATACCTTAATGTTGTGTTGGATGGCTGTGGTTCACTGTATGATCTATTTTATNTTATCAGAGTCAGTGCTCAAGACTGCCTGAGGGTAGCCAACTACTTGTAGCCATGTTCAAAAGTCAGTTTGTTTCCATGAAGCAATGTTTTTCTCTCTTGTCTTTCAAGGTATGATGCCAGGGGTTATACCTGGAGGACCACAGCCTGGTTATGGTGGCGGAGGAAGTTCTTATGGAGTGCCACCCCCAGTAGGTGGATATGGAGCTCGAACTCCAGCTGGGGGATATGGTGCCCCACCTCCTGCCAGTGGGTATGGTGCCCAACCCCCTGTCAGTGGGTATGGTGCCCCACCTCCTGCTAGTGGATATGGAGCACCACCCCCTGCTAGTGGATATGGAGCCCCACCTCATAGTGGTGGGTATGGAGTACAACATCAACCTCTACAGCAGAGCTATTCTCCCTCTCAAGGTATTGGACATTTTTTATCTTTTTTGCAGATTTAAAGATTGTTTTAATATTATAGGATTCCATGAGTAGATTTCAGATCAATGTATAATCAAAAAAAATTCGTAAAACTTTGTGGTTTTTGTTTGATTTAAATATAATTATGAGTATGATAACAGAAATGAACTGGGATCCACAAAGCCCTGCAGTTACAATAATGATAAATCAGACCTGATACAGGCACAGTAGATTTTAGAAAGCAGAGTTGTATTACCGTAAGTAACGTACCTTAATGTTGTGTTGGATGGCTGTGGTTCACTGTATGATCTATTTTATTTATTACCAATAAATGAAAGTCTGCTTTGATGGCACACTCTTTCCAGCAGCTGATATCTTTATGCATACAGTATCCAACTGATTCTCTTATGAGGACTTAAAATAACCAATTAAGTAAATTTTGTAATTTACTTGAAGAAGCCATGAAGACAAGGTTTCAAGCTGAGTGCGAATACCTGTAGATTTCGTCTTGTTATGTTTAGTGACTTTAATATTATCACTTACATTCCTCAAAAGAGAAATGCATGAAGCATTAGCTACTGGCAGATCTGATTGATTTTTCTACTAATGGCTTAATTGTTTGTTTTGTTTGGCCTTTTTTTTGTTGAGGTATGGGGCTATATCATTAAGTACCTGCCAGTTAGTTATATGTATGAAAAAGACCTCATAAAGTGATGTGTTTTCTGTGTAAAAATTACTACCTTTTCCAGCTGTAGTTTTTGCTAGTCATCTTTTTTGTTTGTTTTTAGCCGATGATCAGGGCTTTCACTAAGAGCCAGGGCCCATTGCAGGGATTTACCCTGGCAACTATGAGCATGACCCCCGACTTCTGTCAGGAAACAAGAAGAAAATAGAACCAAATGAATTTTGTGGCTGTTCAATTACCCACCTACTAATAAGACCCAGCATTTTGATGATGTTTAATATTTTTCAGCTCCAGTGACTCACAGTGCTCCCCCACCCACGGCACCTGCATCTGCTCCTCCACCAAAACCTCAAGCAGCCCCAGCAAGGCCTCCACCACCTTCTGGCAGTCACGTAAGTGGATGGAACAATTTGATTGCATATTGTGCCCTTAAAAGCTAAGGACTGAATTGTACATAAGACGTCCTCTCTCAGCAATGTGTGTATGTATGTATGCATGTAACTGTAGCTTGTCCAGTTTTTTCCTGGAGGTCTTATTTTCTCTATAAAACAAGAAACTCTGGAATTCATAGCATTGTGAAGCTTGCTTTACATGTAGGCATTTAGACAGTGGAAAAAGGGAAAAATTATAATTATAATACATGTATGTATATTGAGTGGAAATGCACTGGAATTCCTGTCAGTGCTTAAGCTTCAGGAATAATTTGTAGCCCTTTCTTTTATTTTCTTCTGCATTTGCAGTTCTCAGTGACCCTTTATACTCATAACTGAACAGCTGGAATAGGTTATGGTCTTGGCAAGTTAGCAATAACTGTTTGCTGAGTTTATCCTTCTTTGCTTTTCCAGGGAGGTGTTCCCACTGCTCAGATGGCTTCTATGTCTTTGACTACAGTAAGTAAATTTTATTGTTCACATGACATGTACAAACATAAAGAAAATTTAATGCAAGCAATGATTCCTTTAGCTGGGGGGTGGGGGGGGGGAAATTATTAGCAATTAGGTCTTGAAAGTTGACAATTCATTAGGGACTACTGCTGCCTGTTAAAATAATGATGTCTGTTGTAAAAAATTAACTCAGGCTACTATTAGGAACCAGTCATTAGAATATATGTAAGTATTGACAGAATGTCCTTAGACTACTGTTAATTTGTTTTCTTTGTAGAAGTATGGTCATCCTACTGTATTTCCAGCCTCTCCATTTGATGCAGAAGCAGATTGTGAGTTGCTAAGGAAAGCAATGAGAGGAGTAGGTAAGATTGACTCAAATAAATTAAAGAAATGCAAATTGTGAAATACCAAGCTGTATGCCTGGGCAATGGTCTGGTAATATACCCTAGTACCCTATTATATACCCTACCGCTCAATACAGTTTGAATCAGGCCCAATCTGTAGACTTTCCTCAGCTAGTCAGTCTCTGACAACTGATATAAATTTACATGCATGCCAGTCAGTGCCCCGTTTGGAAACACTTACTTCACAGTGTTTGTGACCTCTAAAATCTTTAGATCTTAAGTCCTGCCCAGTGGTGGAGTCTTTATTATTTTTCAAAGAATGCTAAAATTTCGTTTCTTTTCCTTTTGATATTTCAGGGACTGATGAGCAGGCTCTTATTGACATTATTGTGAAACGAAGCAATGCCCAGAGAGTAGAAATCAGAAAAAGATACAAAACAATGTTTGGCAAGGTAAGCACTAAGTGTGCATAATATTCAGTGTTGGCAGCCTAATGTTTAGATGTTTGGGACTCTTCTTTGTCACGTTCTCATGAAATGATGGCCACTACATCTTTCCAATTTACATACTAAGTGACCAACTTGCTTTTCTCACACTTTTTTGACGTTACAAAGTATTGTACCACATTTTTGTGTCGCCTTTGATGGTCGGAATACTATGCTTCATTTGTGGGTGGTTCTTGCTTACGATTTATCAGAGGACTATCACACATGAAGCGTTTTTTTTTGGTTTTTTTTTCCAATGTGGCATACAGTTCAAGGTTATTCTGATCCGGATAGAGGAATAATATTAGTGAAGACCTGTGTCAGTTAGTGTCTTGAAAATTGCATTTAATTAACCCTTTTTTGATAGTATCCATTGTGTCAATCAATTAATAGTAACCTTTTTATTAATCTATATGTTATTTGACATTGTTAGGATCTAATGAATGACCTGAAGTCAGAGCTTAGTGGTAACCTGGAAGATTGTTTGTTGGCTTTACTCGAGCCATCCTCTCTGTATGACGCCAAGTGTTTGAGACGTGCTATGAGGGTAAGGCAACACTAAACAGTATGTTATACATGTCTTGATCTTTTATCCCTTTGTATGCACAATACAATCAGTGTTAATGTTTTATTGACCTTTATTCTCTTTATTATTTTTCAGGGTGCTGGAACAGATGAGGAGACATTGATTGACATTCTTTGTACCCGTACTAACCAGGTTTGTTGTTACATGTATAATAAAGTGTACTGGGCTATCATTAAAGCTTAAAGAAGATGGTCTCTAATAAAACACTAGAGCTTTGCACATTTATACAACCAGAGGCACTTTACCAAACTGGCAACTCACTTTCACCGCAATTTTTGTTACCAGAATAATTATTGTCTTCTTTCCATTGTGACCAAAATGGTTGCAGCTTGGAGCACTGTGATATCGATGGTCTCAGTCATGGCATTTTCTTATGTTTCCTAGCTTTACATTCAGATTCAACACAGTTCAGTCATTTGAAGTTCTCCCTTGGTTATTTCCAGTTCAACCAAGCATCCAGGCACCATAATATTACAAAAGCAATTTTGAAATTTATATGTTGAGGTTTCTATATAATAGTTATGATTGTGTGTGGAAATGAGAGTTTTCAGTTGTCCTGTGACATGTCATGTGATTGGTTCAAAGGCTTTGTTGTGAAATGATAGAAATCTGCAAAATGAAATATTATCCACTGTCATGGTAGATATGCGTTGTTATCGCTTTGAACAATGGACTGACCTGAGTCTTTTTAAACCAAAATTACAAACTCTGTAGACTGTAAATTCCTCATTAAAGATGTACACTGTTTGTTCGATGTAGAAAGGAAGTGGGACAATATGATGCAATGAAGTAAGCAGATTTGCATCAGTAGGTAATGATAATCCAAGAATGAATGCTTTAAAAGCATCAGCTGTCTATATTAATTTTGAGAGACAGACAGTTAACTGTTATTCAGCTGGGATCAGTTGTTATTATGCTTAGGTGTTGCGTTTGTTTTATATGGGTGTCTCTATCTCCTGATTTTTAGCATCTAATTATTATGAAGACATTGTTTCCATAAATTAACCGGTTATGTTTTCTTTCATGACAGGAAATAGCTAACATCAAAAGGAATTATACTGAATGTGAGTACCAAATTTTATTTATGTTCTTTTAAAGACTTATGTCTACCCTTTGTTGTGATCCTATGTACAAGCAATCTTGATGTTTAATCTAGGCCTTCTTAGTTTTACTGTTCTTTTTGTCATCAAATTCTTAGAAATTATGGCATTCATTACCCATGACACTATGACTTCAGAAAAATAATGTGAATAACTTGACACGTTTCTTCTGCAGTAAGCTGCTCATTTTGTATATGCTTTGTAATTGGATGCAACTGAATTGCAATGTAAATACATGGTACAAGTCCACTCTAGTTTCTGTTGAATGTCAATTCAAACATCTTCAATAGTTTGCCATTATTATGACATACTTCACCACTTTATTTTTTCTGTAAAGTACTACTGCTCTGTCTCAACTGGGGAAAATGAAGGAAGAACAAAATATTCTGTAGCTGATGGCATGCCTAGCAAGCGTTTCCGTTTGGTTTCGGAGCAAAAAAAGACCGTGGAAGGAGATTTTCGGTTTTGATCGCGCGAGAAATTAAAATTTGACTCTTGTTCCTCGTTCTTTGCTCCTAAACGGCACAGAAACGCTTGCTACGCAGGCTATGCAGCTGGTTGCTCAATACTGTAGTCGTGCAAAAAAATCTATATTTCATTACAAACTTTTAAGTTTTCCATAATTACGAGTTAAGTACAATATCCATGGCCTGCTAAGGAAGTGGAAGAAAATGCAAAATGGAAGGCCAGAAAAACTGTTTTTTGTTTAGGGAAGAGTCACGGAATTTTTATGTTTCAGTGAAGTCCAACAGTAAGAAAGCAACAGTCATCTAAATATCAAGTGTGGTTTTTCAGAAGCAAATATTTTAAATCTTTTACTTAGATTACAAGCGTGACCTTGAAAAAGACTGTGTGAGCGAAACCAGTGGTCATTTTAAGAGGCTTTTGGTCTCTATGTGTCAGGTAATGAAAAGATTTTCCCAGCTCCTAAATGTGACGTTCGTAAAACTGTTACAGTTACATGAGAATAAACCTTGGAGGGGATGTTTGGATGGAGACAGGGTGATACATTGCTAGATAACAGCGGTGAGCGATGCACTTCAACCAGAAGAGAGGCTTTTTCCCTTACATTAGAATATATGTAAGTATTGACAGAATGTCCTTAGACTACTGTTAATTTGTTTTCTTTGTAGAAGTATGGTCATCCTACTGTATTTCCAGCCTCTCCATTTGATGCAGAAGCAGATTGTGAGTTGCTAAGGAAAGCAATGAGAGGAGTAGGTAAGATTGACTCAAATAAATTAAAGAAATGCAAATTGTGAAATACCAAGCTGTATGCCTGGGCAATGGTCTGGTAATATACCCTAGTACCCTATTATATACCCTACCGCTCAATACAGTTTGAATCAGGCCCAATCTGTAGACTTTCCTCAGCTAGTCAGTCTCTGGCAACTGATATAAATTTACATGCATGCCAGTCAGTGCCCCGTTTGGAAACACTTACTTCACAGTGTTTGTGACCTCTAAAATCTTTAGATCTTAAGTCCTGCCCAGTGGTGGAGTCTTTATTATTTTTCAAAGAATGCTAAAATTTCGTTTCTTTTCCTTTTGATATTTCAGGGACTGATGAGCAGGCTCTTATTGACATTATTGTGAAACGAAGCAATGCCCAGAGAGTAGAAATCAGAAAAAGATACAAAACAATGTTTGGCAAGGTAAGCACTAAGTGTGCATAATATTCAGTGTTGGCAGCCTAATGTTTAGATGTTTGGGACTCTTCTTTGTCACGTTCTCATGAAATGATGGCCACTACATCTTTCCAATTTACATACTAAGTGACCAACTTGCTTTTCTCACACTTTTTTGACGTTACAAAGTATTGTACCACATTTTTGTGTCGCCTTTGATGGTCGGAATACTATGCTTCATTTGTGGGTGGTTCTTGCTTACGATTTATCAGAGGACTATCACACATGAAGCGTTTTTTTTTGGTTTTTTTTTCCAATGTGGCATACAGTTCAAGGTTATTCTGATCCGGATAGAGGAATAATATTAGTGAAGACCTGTGTCAGTTAGTGTCTTGAAAATTGCATTTAATTAACCCTTTTTTGATAGTATCCATTGTGTCAATCAATTAATAGTAACCTTTTTATTAATCTATATGTTATTTGACATTGTTAGGATCTAATGAATGACCTGAAGTCAGAGCTTAGTGGTAACCTGGAAGATTGTTTGTTGGCTTTACTCGAGCCATCCTCTCTGTATGACGCCAAGTGTTTGAGACGTGCTATGAGGGTAAGGCAACACTAAACAGTATGTTATACATGTCTTGATCTTTTATCCCTTTGTATGCACAATACAATCAGTGTTAATGTTTTATTGACCTTTATTCTCTTTATTATTTTTCAGGGTGCTGGAACAGATGAGGAGACATTGATTGACATTCTTTGTACCCGTACTAACCAGGTTTGTTGTTACATGTATAATAAAGTGTACTGGGCTATCATTAAAGCTTAAAGAAGATGGTCTCTAATAAAACACTAGAGCTTTGCACATTTATACAACCAGAGGCACTTTACCAAACTGGCAACTCACTTTCACCGCAATTTTTGTTACCAGAATAATTATTGTCTTCTTTCCATTGTGACCAAAATGGTTGCAGCTTGGAGCACTGTGATATCTATGGTCTCAGTCATGGCATTTTCTTATGTTTCCTAGCTTTACATTCAGATTCAACAGTGTTCAGTCATTTGAAGTTCTCCCTTGGTTATTTCCAGTTCAACCAAGCATCCAGGCACCATAATATTACAAAAGCAATTTTGAAATTTATATGTTGAGGTTTCTATATAATAGTTATGATTGTGTGTGGAAATGAGAGTTTTCAGTTGTCCTGTGACATGTCATGTGATTGGTTCAAAGGCTTTGTTGTGAAATGATAGGAATCTGCAAAATGAAATATTATCCACGGTCATGGTAGATATGCGTTGTTATCGCTTTGAACAATGGACTGACCTGAGTCTTTTTAAACCAAAATTGCAACCTCTGTAGACTGTAAATTCCTCATTAAAGATGTACACTGTTTGTTCGATGTACAAAGGAAGTGGGACAATATGATGCAATGAAGTAAGCAGATTTGCATCAGTAGCTAATGATAATCTAAGAATGAATGCTTTAAAAGCATCAGCTGTCTATATTAATTTTGAGAGACAGACAGTTAACTGCTATTAAGCTGGGATCAGTTTTTATTATGCTTAGGTGTTGCGTTTGTTTTATATGGGTGTCTTTATCTCCTGATTTTTAGCATCTAATTATTATGAAGACATTGTTTCCATAAATTAACCGGTTATGTTTTCTTTCATGACAGGAAATAGCTAACATCAAAAGGAATTATACTGAATGTGAGTACCAAATTTTATTTATGTTCTTTTAAAGACTTATGTCTACCCTTTGTTGTGATCCTATGTACAAGCAATCTTGATGTTTAATCTAGGCCTTCTTAGTTTTACTGTTCTTTTTGTCATCAAATTCTTAGAAATTATGGCATTCATTACCCATGACACTATGACTTCAGAAAAATAATGTGAATAACTTGACACGTTTCTTCTGCAGTAAGCTGCTCATTTTGTATATGCTTTGTAATTGGATGCAACTGAATTGCAATGTAAATACATGGTACAAGTCCACTCTAGTTTCTGTTGAATGTCAATTCAAACATCTTCAATAGTTTGCCATTATTATGACATACTTCACCACTTTATTTTTTCTGTAAAGTACTACTGCTCTGTCTCAACTGGGGAAAATGAAGGAAGAACAAAATATTCTGTAGCTGATGGCATGCCTAGCAAGCGTTTCCGTTTGGTTTCGGAGCAAAAAAAGACCTTGGAAGGAGATTTTCGGTTTTGATCGCACGAGAAATTAAAATTTGACTCTTGTTCCTCGTTCTTTGCTCCTAAACGGCACAGAAACGCTTGCTACGCAGGCTATGCAGCTGGTTGCTCAATACTGTAGTCGTGCAAAAAAATCTATATTTCATTACAAACTTTTAAGTTTTCCATAATTACGAGTTAAGTACAATATCCATGGCCTGCTAAGGAAGTGGAAGAAAATGCAAAATGGAAGGCCAGAAAAATTGTTTTTTGTTTAGGGAAGAGTCAGGGAATTTTTATGTTTCAGTGAAGCCCAACAGTAAGAAAGCAACAGTCATCTAAATATCAAGTGTGGTTTTTCAGAAGCAAATTTTTTAAATCTTTTACTTAGATTACAAGCGTGACCTTGAAAAAGACTGTGTGAGCGAAACCAGTGGTCATTTTAAGAGGCTTTTGGTCTCTATGTGTCAGGTAATGAAAAGATTTTCCCAGCTCCTAAATGTGACGTTCGTAAAACTGTTACAGTTACATGAGAATAAACCTTGGAGGGGATGTTTGGATGGAGACAGGGTGATACATTGCTAGATAACAGCGGTGAGCGATGCACTTCAACCAGAAGAGAGGCTTTTTCCCTTAGCTTCCCTTTGAATATGCCATGACGCTACTGAACAAAGTTGTATGGCTTAAAGTCTTTCCCTTTATAGAGACGATCTGCCCAAAAATGCTAAAAACCCCTTTGCTTTAGCTTTCTATTACCACGATATCAATATTTCTCACGTGTCTTGAACAAGACAAGGTAGGGGTTGTTACGTGGAAACGTGTCTCACTCAAAACTCTACAAGTTTGTGAGTGTTGCACCAAATCTCCCACTGTTGGAGGTTGGATAGATAGAGACAGTCATGTTGTGTTTGTACACGCACTTTTCCCCTGCAACACTACATGAGGGTGAACGCAGCAGATCCTCTACTTTTTTTCCTCAAGGATTCTATGGAAAATAATGAGGTAGGTTGGGTGGGAAAGCAGGGCACTGTAGTGTATGTTGGGAAGGAAGCGTACCGAGTCTTCTGCTTATCTGGCCGGATGCTGGATTCTGTATTTTGGGGTCATCACTACTTCACTTAATGGGAACAGAAGTCATTGGCAGGAAGGAAGGCATTTCTCTCTATCAACAGATGGGTAACCTTGAAGAGTTTGAATTTGCTAAAGGACGCAACTGGAACGGCTTATGCACTTAAACACCGCGATGAACTACAATGAAGTGTATTATCATACCAAGTGGGTATGGTGTAATCATGTTTCGTGTGAAAGATTTACTGTATGCAGCTTCACAATACCTCTTTGTAAGTTATAATGTAAATTGTTTTTTATTTACTGCATTCTGAAGGGCAATCGAGATGAGTCCACCACAGCTGACTTAGCGAAGGCTCAAAAGGAGGCACAAGACTTGTTTCAGGTACTAAAAAAAATTGTATTAAAGTTGAGTGGCTGAGATCGTCTATCGATAAATAGCCTCTAGTTGCTTCTTTGACGGAATTGAGTTCTCTTCCGTTTTTCTGGCTTTGACAACCGTCAAGTGCGTTAGTCCGTATTTAGTGTAAATAGCATTATTATTCAATCAAAACATTGCTCCGTTTCTTATTGGTGCAAATTCTCCAGCTTATTCTGGCTGAATTCTTCATAACCAGCTAGCGTTCACCGAACCTTGGAAGACGTTTGCGATATCCGGTAAAATGACGTCAATATTGCAGGATATCGCTGGAAAAAAGCTCTGCAACCTGACGCCCTAGGGCCGAGGTTGTGATCGCTCAGCTGTTTTAGTAGGCCGGAGAAAATGTCCGAAAATTTCACCCGTTAAGCTAAGAAGAATAGCCGAGCAAACTACTGCCTTAAAACGAAGTAAGAACAGCTAAAATACAACTCGACGGATGACAACTGCTATTCGAAGAATATCTGCCAGACTTAATATAAACATCACTATATATCCTGAATTGGCCGAGAATCAAGGAAATGAAGACAGAAACTTAACGACACGAAGAAGGCATATTTTGACCTATTTGGAATAGATAATAAAACAATATTGGATTCGGCTTTCGTATGATCTCAAGAACTATGCAGGTCTCGGATGATGTTATAACACTCTCCTCGATAGATCATACTCATCCAATGAGCTTACATTGCAATTGCTAAATAGCCAAATAGCCGTGTGAGTCGGAACGAGTGTAGGTAATATGTGTTGTGTTTCATTGTTTTTTCTGTTAAAATTTTAATTCCCTCTGTATTTGGCTATATGGAAATGGAAGTGCCAACCACCACAGACCTTAGCTCTGCANAGGCCGGAGAAAATGTCCGAAAATTTCACCCGTTAAGCTAAGAAGAATAGCCGAGCAAACTACTGCCTTAAAACGAAGTAAGAACAGCTAAAATACAACTCGACGGATGACAACTGCTATTCGAAGAATATCTGCCAGACTTAATATAAACATCACTATATATCCTGAATTGGCCGAGAATCAAGGAAATGAAGACAGAAACTTAACGACACGAAGAAGGCATATTTTGACCTATTTGGAATAGATAATAAAACAATATTGGATTCGGCTTTCGTATGATCTCAAGAACTATGCAGGTCTCGGATGATGTTATAACACTCTCCTCGATAGATCATACTCATCCAATGAGCTTACATTGCAATTGCTAAATAGCCAAATAGCCGTGTGAGTCGGAACGAGTGTAGGTAATATGTGTTGTGTTTCATTGTTTTTTCTGTTAAAATTTTAATTCCCTCTGTATTTGGCTATATGGAAATGGAAGTGCCAACCACCACAGACCTTAGCTCTGCAACCTAATGATGTCATTTGACTTGTCTGGTTTCTAGGCTGGAGAGAGGAAATGGGGTACAGATGAATCTCGCTTTAATGTTGTTTTGGCTTCTAGGAGCTTTCCACAGCTTAGAGCTACTTTTGATGAATATATCAAGGTAAGCCGGCAATTTTTTGCAGCATACTAATTTCTTGCGATAGCGTTTAGCTTGAGACGGTCAGTTCTACTTAATTTTTCCTACAATTGGACTCGCATGGCCAAGGTGCCGAGAAAATGAATTATTTCCGAGGCCCAGTTGTTCGGAAGTTTTCTTTTTTTCTTCTGTTCTACAGCATTTTCGCGGATAATTTTCTCGTTTCTTTATAGAGCATCAAATCATTACATTGCAGGCGAAAAGAATTAAACTGAATTTGCTTTTCAAGCTTTTATATCTGAAATTTGGATAAGACTAAGTCTGGTTAGTCTTATCCCTGCTTTGAACAACCCGGCCTTGATCACCCCTTTCCGATTTCCTCGGATCAGTTTAAGGTTCTGCCAACCTTCACCTCCCCTCACCCGATGTTAATCCGAATAAATACAGACTCAGAAGTTAGACATGACAACATTGGGCTTTTCCATAATATTGACTCTAGAATTACAGTAAGAGGGTGAGTTAATTTACTGTTTGTGTGGGATGTGTCTATGTGGAGTATGATGGAGTAAAGCCCGGCAGGCGAGAGCCAATGTGCCGCGCGTATCATGTACATGGTATGGAAAACCGTTGCTGGAAGTAGAAGAAATCTGAAAAAGGAGTCTATCTTGCGCACTATTTGTCCCCCCCCCCCCGGGACTCCCAAATAAAAGTAGCGGGATGCTCGTGGGGAAGTTGTTATTAAGCTCCTGCTGGAGAACAGTCTGGGTGTTGTGTTTTAGGCTTTATTTGACCGTAAGGGAGACTATACTTCAGCGAGAAAGACGAGCATCCCTGTCACTTTCATATGGGAGTCCCCTTTCCCGGGTATCTTGTATCAAGAAAGAGAAGAGACGTAGGCAACAGCAAGGAAGGGTGGATTTTCGTATTGCTGCCCTGTCCCTCTCCCTCAGACTGACGACATTCAAGAGATATTTTCTCTATCATTATTTTGCAGATTTCACAGCGTGATATTTTGAACAGTATTGACCGTGAGATGTCTGGAGATCTCAAGGCTGGATTTAAATGTATTGGTAAGTTAATATATTTTTAGGCGGCCTAGTCTGTCAGCAGTTCATGGTTTATATGGGTGGGAGTGTTAGTGTGAGCATTGTTTCAAACATAACCATCCCGGCTTGACAGTGTGGGGAGAACAGGGCGAAGGGAGCCAGGGAAAATAGGGAGCGGGAGAGGAAAGGGCGAGAGGTGGAAAACGGCTAGGGAGGAATTCAAGAAAAAAGGGGAGGGGCCGGGAGATGCAAAATGCAGGAGGTGAAAGGTTTGGAGCCCCTGTCCCCCTTCATTCTTAAGGGTCTATAGGCGATGTTACACGAGACAATTTGCCAAGACGATTTTTAGTGCAACATTGTGAAACTTGAATTTGAAACAAAACAAAATACACACCTACGACGTAGGTATGAAAGCGACGCTTAAGGGCCACTTCCCGCAAACTTCAAAAAAAGTAAACAGGGCGGTGAAAGCAAGAACGATTGTTGATTTAGCGATTAGAAATCAACCCCAAAAGATATTCCTGGTTCAGTTATAGTAAATGAACCTGCGTTGAAGAGTGGACAGTGGAGAAACTAGCCTTCGGCAAGGATCCTTCGGAAATACAGGAAACGTCAAGTCTTTTCTAATATCGGAACGAGTATTACAAATTGCAACAGCGCAGCATTTGTAAGAACTATTTTTTGTCGTAGTTGTACGGTGCGTGCTTCTGCCACTTTATACAATTTAATTGAGATGCAGCCCTTAGACCTCGCTTTCATGCTTAAGTTGTAAGTGTGTATGTAACAATGCTTTGTTCTGCTAAAAAATCGTCGTCGCGAATCACCCCGTGTTTAATATCGCTTTTATGGAAGTAGCCTGCGAGCACCTCGCGGCTTCTCCGCTCACTCGCGTGTTCTCTCGCGTCTTGCCTCGCTCGCCAAAAATGGGAGTAAACGTAAAACCCAATGTTTTGTTTTCCAGTTATTGTTCAGCTTATTACTCGCCTGCACTTGCGGCTCAAGAAAAGGAAAAATAAATAATAAACCATTATCAAATGTATTTTCACCGATAGCTTGCCGATTGAGAAAAAGTAGCCTATATTTATGTAAATTGTGTTGGTTTTGACAGTGCAATGTTCAAGGAATCCTGCTGAATACTTTGCTGATCGACTGTGGAAATCCATGAAAGGAGCCGGAACTGATGATGCAACCTTAATTCGAATTGTTGTTTCGCGTTCAGAGGTAGGCCTCTTTTTCTTTTGTCGCTTTTTCTTTCTTCTCTCAATCAGCTGGATTATTCGTTTTATGAGCAATCTTGTCCCCTGTGCCTTTGCTGCTCTTTTCCAGCGGAACGAGCAACGGAAGAAGAGTCCTAAAGGGAAACAAAAAAATTCTGGTCACGGTTTCGTTATCCTGCGTGAAGTTGTTTACCCAAGAAACGTTGTAAACGGGGTAAACTCTTTTAACGATTTCAAGTCGCATAGATTGGAGTGTACACAAATGACCTGTCAAAAGCAGATCGACGTGCTCATATCCTTCGAACGGGATCCCAATTGAAGCGGGGCGGAAAAAAAATCGGCGAGCGAGGTGATCCGAGCGTGGCTTGGGGGACGCAACGCCACATGGCACCTGGCTCGCTTTCGCCCCTCTCCAATTGGGAGTCTGTTCACAGGCTACGTGTTCGGTTTTTTTCTTTATTTGCAAGTAATTAGCATATAATGAACACGTTTTTGTAAGCGAAGCAGAGTTTTTTTTTCCGATTTGCCCAGAGGTTAGTGATTTTTGGTGCTAACGAAAGTGATCTTGGAACGAGATTGCTTTTTGAGATGTAGGAAAATACCAAGAAAGTCAAACCAATGGTCACAGGTTTTTAATGTCAGGAGTGTTTTATCCGAAGTGGACGGACACTTTTACACTTAAGGCGCAAATTGTCTTCTTGTGGTTTTTTGCCTCTTCATTTTGTTTGTAGGCCTCACTCTTAGTCTTTTCAAGAGACATTCCTTTCAAGCGCCAAATCTATTTGTCTGAAAATTTGGAAATTCTGCTCGGAAAATTTTCTTTGAATCGTGAGAATCCATCGCGCTCAAGTTGTCGTTGATCCAAGTACCCTCGCCGCTCTCTCGGTCCTCCCCGAGAAGAGTCTGTTCAGGGAAGGAGCGCAGGCTCAGTTCAAGAACAGCGGCTGGTAATGATCGAGCCTACTTTTGGCAGGACTGTTTGTTTCTCTCTCTATCTCCCAACCAGAGTGTATTTTTCAAAGTGTGTGCATTGTTTGGTCCAACCTCGTTCTGTTTCAGATTGATCTAGTTGAAATCAAAGCGGCCTTCCTTCAGAAATATCACAAGACACTGTACAAGATGATTCAGGGAGACTGCAGTGGTGATTACAAGAAACTCTTGCTAACTGCAGTTGGAATGAACTGAGATGGCTTTGCAAGAAAAAAAAATTGTCCTAGCTTTCTGTAGTTTGTTTATTTTATTGTTAATTTTCACATTTTTTTCAATTTTTTTTTTCTGTTGCATACTTCCACCGTAGTCATGAATATTTACTCCGCTTTTAATGAGAAGACAGTGAGCAGTCCCTTTCTTTGCTATGAAATTGAATTTCTTTGCTGCGGAAATGTTTCGTTTATACGGACTGAAATTCGAGTCCCATAAATTCCATAATGTACAGAAATATTGTTAAAGACGATGTGGCTCCTGCCCCAGGACTTGACTTGAGACAAACCATGTAACCCTTAAATGATAGAGTCAGTAGTACTTAGGCCTCCTCGCCTCGTGCTCCTGTAACGGAGCATCGTGTGTTCTTGCATACGTCCATTTGCAAAAGACAAAGTCTTGTCACCCTGTTTTCTTTGCACGCTATTTCTCGCTCCACAATTCGTGGTAAAACACGGGGGCTGCTCATTGTAAAAATACCTTTAGTTCAGTTATAGTCATAGAAGTAGCAAATGCCACAACTTCAACGTGCCTCTTGTTTGTAATGTAAGATTTTTCAGTAGCAGTAGTGAGGACGAGACAATATTTCAGAAATGTAGACATTGTTTTGCGTGTAATCCTAGGATTTGGTACCAGTATATGGTCATGCCGCATCAGCCAATTTCAGCAAAAGCCTTGAGTCCTTGAGTCGGGCTTAAACTTAAAACCCTATGTTCGTTTTCGATAACGAGGCTTGTTTCCAACCATCTCAAAGTCCTAAACCATTGAGTGTAATGAAGGACTTGAGACACCAACTTCTCCTTACTTTTTGTTTGTTTTTATAGCAGGGCTTGTTTATTGGCTATTTTTAAATAGAGAAATTCTTATCTCCGAGGATATTCCACCGGCGAAAAAGAACAGGTCGTTTCTGAAATTTGGCTGATCCAGCTGATCCATACCCTCGTTAGAATAGCACTTGGTCGAACCAGTTCAGCATTCATAATTGCTCAAGGAGCACTTACCGTCCAAAAATGTGGCGATTTCTCTTTCAGTCTTCCGGTCTATATTGAGATTACCGCAAGACTGCCCAATTCTAAAATCCATCGAATGCTTGTAGGGTAAGAAAATAATTGGAATAATTTATATGTCCGATCTTCTAAGTTATTAAATCAAGCTTGGCAACACTACAGCTGTTTGAAAAGTGATTTGATTTCATTTTATTCTCTGAGGCTGCATTCAAACGGCACTGGACGAATTTTCAACCGGCTGAAAATTTTGACAGGATAAATCGTGCACAAGGGACCTTTTAATAATTTTGTTCTGTTCACACGGAAATTTGAACGGGTAGCGTATAGTTGAGGTGGTTCCGTGTGAACGCAATACCTAAACGCAGGAATTTTCAACCGGTCGTAAATTCGACCGCTGCGTTCTGAATGTAGCCTATTAGTTTATCCTCAGTCCAATGTCTTGTCTTCCCAGACTAATTTCTTTTCTTTTCAAGGCAAGGACGAGACCTTCATTTAAGGAGACGCGCTCTTTCAGGCGCTATTAAAAGACCTGTTATACTGCGCATTTTCTTTTGCAGCTTGTCTCGCAAATTTTTCTGCGGTTCTGCGAGATAAGTTGCAAGAAAGGTAATGCTGTTTAGTCAAGAGAGCCATTTTCTGGTCTAGTGTAACATCCCACGAACTGAAACATTTCTCGCAACATTTACACCGCTCTATACTTCGTGCAGCGTTTTCTACAACATTCAAAACGTTGCGAGATAAGTTTATTTCAGGGAGTGTTTCGCTTGAGTGTGAAAGTGGAGTGCGGACACTTTTAAGATCAAACTCAATTGGGAGAAAAAATCCCTTGCGGGGTACTCCCTATATTGGCCTGTACGGGGAGGCCCCGCACGTAAGGGTTACCTTTTTCAAGCAGCATTTTACTTTTTGAAGTATATGAAAGGGTTGGGAAATCTGTCATTTCGGTCTGTAAGAGGCCCAAAAGGGCTAAGAGCTGCATTTTATGGCTGTGAAAAAGCCCAGAGAACATTCTGGTTTTGTGATTTATTCATATTTTATAGACAGTGCGTTTGCAGCAGTTAAAAGGGATGAAAGTTCTAAACTTGGTATGTGAAAGGAGTATACAGGCCTGTAAGCAGGATTTTATGTGGGGGGGGCTAACGAGGCCAAAGTGGACCCAACTACCGAAATGTATTTTTTATTGTCTGATCCGTTTATTTAGGAAAGTAGCAATACATGAGAAATTGTAACGGCAAAGTACACGGTAGGAACTGAATATTACATTTTTCGAATACAACAGTTTGAATTAACTTATAAAGGAGTAATTTTCCGATGTAAAATGATACATCAAAATACTGCGGAACTAATCCCTCAGAATAGTCCCGAGCTCCAGCCTCCGTGGGTGTAGCGACTAAATGTCAGAGCATGATAACAGATCAAGACTGGTGGACATTGTCAGCGTCTAATGGCTCTTGACGGGGTACTTTACTAAGCCATGTATGGAGAGACTGGCAAGATTTAGCTGCAGCCTTCCTCTTTCCATTTTCCTGTTCTCTCGTACCCATAACGTATTACACAAAAAACTGATTTTGCATCTTCGGGCGTTCATGTGCTCGTACAAATAGAGAATACTACCCGACGCGTTAGCGGACGTGTCTGACAAAAATAGTGAGATCGTTCCCTTGTCATTGTCTTGCTCGTCGTAAACTCCCGTGCAAAGCGTGCACATTAATACGTAAGCTCGGACATCTGTGCGCTCACTGAAATGTTCTGAATGGCTCGGGCTACTAGAGAGCAGCTGGTTTTATTTTCCCAGTGAATACACTACTGCTTTTTTCATTCTTTGATTTTGTTTAGATATCACTGTTAAGTTTGAAACTTCAGTTTAACCGACCGCACTCCTTAACTTGGATATTGAGTATCAAAATGTGGACCTTTGGGGCGGGGGGGGGGGGGGGTGCGAACGCACCCCGTGCACCCTCCCTGGTTACGGGCCTGGTATATACCATCTGTCAAATAAATATATACAAAAGGGGTGCCTTTTCTGTCAGAAATGGCATACAAAAGGATAAGAGATTGGACCTTGGGGCAGACCCTCCCCTTATAAAACTTTGTTGAGACCCCCCTGGAAAAAACCCAACTTTTAAAAAATTAATGCGCGAGACGAACAAGCCCTTGGTGCTTACCTTGGTGCATGGCGAGATGGAATTAAATCTTAGCCGGTGTAGAAGGCTCATAGACCTATTCGGCTAAATCAATGTTGTACCCAATTCAAACCCTTTTGGGAATAAAACGTTTTGTTTCAGGAATTTCCATATCATTTAAATGTGAATGCCTCATTATAATACAAATAAAATACACAAAGAATCTTATCCCCGGGAGATTTGAATTGGGTACAACATTGAGTTAGCCGGATAGGTCTATGGAACAAGGGCTCATGAATGTAAGGTTTCGTGTGAGAAAATAGGCACCGTCTCAACGTACTCCGATCCCAGTACTGACCAGGCAGTGGGTTGTGTTAGTGAAAATGTGCCCTTTGCTTTCAGTTTGTCTTCTCATACCCAGGCCTTTTGCAAGGGAAAAACCCAGAGACGAGGTCTGGGCAGAGTATTTCGACTCGCAGATATTACAGACCATAGCCATCTCGTGGACCCTACAATTTTACCTTTCACAGTTGGCATGTTTGTGTATGTTGTAAATTTTTCTGATATATTCAGCTAGAAGTTCGATAAATGTCCCAAACAAAATTAAAGGCAGGCTCGAGAATATGTATAACGTCATGCACGTATGCATCTATTAAAGTACATTTCAGTTTTCAATAAAAATCAATAAAATAAATGAAAATCGAAATTCACTCAAGACTGCGGCTTTGATTTTCATTGTTTTTCAGTATAAATCAATTAATTGCTAGTGATTTTTATTTACTATGATTGATGTTATTGATTATTCATTTTGACTGAATGGTATCGTCTGGACACAGAGTGCGTGTCTAGCTGCGTAGCAAGCGTTTCCAGTCGAGTTATAGCGAATTGTTATAGCGCGAAAGTTGGAGCTCTCGTCCCATCGTTCTCGACGAACTCGCGCGGAAACGCTTGCTACGCAGGCTAGGGAAAACACGAGCCGCTCTGGAGAAGTCGAGGAAACGTTCACTGTTATTTTAAAAAACGCCCCCCCCTCCCGCCTCTGCGTCCCCACCCCCGTCACTTCCCTACCCCTAACTCGGCTTCAATTTACTTGTCTTGTCTTTACGCAGAAAGGCTCACAGGCGAACAATACAAGCAAAACCTTTCCTTTTTCATTTACGTGACCCTCCAGGCCTCCCTGGTGAAAATGATATATTGCACTTGAGAGAAACAACCAATCAGGTGCTTGTGCCTAATATGGTTAATAAACATCCGCTCTGAAACAGTGACCGCCCTGTTGACTTTAGTTTGATCTTGTATTTACGGAGAGAGGCGTTATCATTTTCAAGGTGTAAAATGTATGGACAAACGGCCCTTTCACAGCGGGAAAACGAATATCACAACCTGAGAATACAAGTCGAACAGCTGAGGAGAGAAGCTGCTATATCCAGGAAAAAAATTTCAGTTTGTTCTGATGAGTAAGTCAGAATTGTCACGATATCGTTGATTTAAGCTTTTGAAAGCGCTGTTTTGTTTGCCTTTGTCCTCTTTTCTAAGCACATTATTAATGCAAATTTACAGGTATTGTTTCCATTTTGATGTGAACCTTTTGTGTGATTAAATTTGTATGGATTCTATTATCCATAATGGGCGCTCGGGGCGCTCGGCGTTATAGCACGTACTCCCAAGTTGTGACAGGACGATTTTAGAACATAAGTCACGAGATGAAATTCATCTCTTTTCGTAGTAAGACTTTGTATTTCTTATAATGTCCGTTAGAGTATAAATCCACAGTAGTTTGTCAACGTTTTAACCCTGAATATTTTAATGACGTTACTTAGTTGTTTACGAATTGCGTTCGTGACGTTTATAGCAAGCAGCAGTGACNAACCTGAGAATACAAGTCGAACAGCTGAGGAGAGAAGCTGCTATATCCAGGAAAAAAATTTCAGTTTGTTCTGATGAGTAAGTCAGAATTGTCACGATATCGTTGATTTAAGCTTTTGAAAGCGCTGTTTTGTTTGCCTTTGTCCTCTTTTCTAAGCACATTATTAATGCAAATTTACAGGTATTGTTTCCATTTTGATGTGAACCTTTTGTGTGATTAAATTTGTATGGATTCTATTATCCATAATGGGCGCTCGGGGCGCTCGGCGTTATAGCACGTACTCCCAAGTTGTGACAGGACGATTTTAGAACATAAGTCACGAGATGAAATTCATCTCTTTTCGTAGTAAGACTTTGTATTTCTTATAATGTCCGTTAGAGTATAAATCCACAGTAGTTTGTCAACGTTTTAACCCTGAATATTTTAATGACGTTACTTAGTTGTTTACGAATTGCGTTCGTGACGTTTATAGCAAGTAGCAGTGACCTTAAGAATCCTAAAACCTTAGTTCGCGAAGCTTTTGTTTTTGCTTATTTCCTGCGGCTTATATGGCTTACAATTCAGAATTTCTCATTTATATATTGATATCTTTACTGAAAATGATAATGACATGAGAGTTAGAGAGTTAGGGAAATTATAATAATCAGCATTAAGCAACTTCATTCCAAGAGAAGCTGATTCTATGAGGAATTCAAGGTCATCATTAAGTTGATGCTATGGCCTTGAAAAGGGCTTTTCGAGGGAAGTGAAATGTATACACGTATCAGAAGTTTTATTGCTCTGTCATTTTTTTTAGCATCATCGTAAATACCAGTTTCCATAGGATTATCCTCTTCGATGATGGAATTCTTTAGCCGCTGGTCATGCGGTCAGGACATGCCTCCTAAAGAGTATTTTCACATGACACCACGGCAGCCATACCAATCCTGTTGGAATTGAGCAATATATTTCTTATGCATATACATCCCAACTCTCCCGGATTCGGCGCTGATCTGCCGCTCTCCCACTCTCCCGTACAGATCACCAAATCTCCCGGATAAAATGGACTTTTAAGCTTTTCTATGCTTTTTGTTTGAAACTCAGCCCGTTTTTTCCCCTCAAAATTTGAACTTTTTGTATTCATTGTGTGGTCTGGGACATTTTTGCACGTATTAAGTTGAGTCACTGACAAAGATAATTTGTTTCATCATTACAATGACGAAAGCGAATTTTTATATTGGGTGGGGGGGCTGTTGGAAGTGTTGTGCAAAATAGAGGTTGGCATCTCTGCGTATATAAATGCTCTCTTTTGTTCTAATAAATTTGCGTAGATGCTGCCCACATGAGTGAAAATACTCCATGGTCATTTTTGTTAGCTTTAGAAGAAAAAGCTGCCTTAAAAATATTTTGTGTATGTATCTTTTAATAATTATCAAATGTCTAAGTCATCAGGTATTATTATTAGAAGCTCTGTCTTCTTAAAAAAGTCAGTCTCAGTTGAATTAAGTGTTTGACCAATCCTAGGTTTATTGAGAGGCCTTCCACCTCCCCTCCCCCGCCCCCTCTCCTCAATTTGCAGTTATTTGCGCCACACACAAGTTGAGTCATTAGAACAGTTGAATAAAACTAGAGTAGCTGGCTGTTTATGGAATGAACAACAACACAACAAATTAATATAACTAAGTAATTATCTGTTATTCATTACATAGGAATCAATCTTTTTAACCTTTGTTTTGTTGTGTTTTTTCTTGTTGTAGCCTCGCTCGATTCTGCCAAGAGAAGCGATGTGATGATCCTTTGCTAGGAAAGATTCCAAATGCAAACAATCCTTACAGAGATAAGGGAATGACATGCTTGCTGCTATGATAAAAAAAGTACAGTGGTAATCCTATAGTAAGGACTTTGGCTCAGGACCTGCTGAATGGACAAATATCATGTAAGAAACAAAGACAGTGATGCTTAGTGCTGCATTCTGATGACCCGATGTTGATTTTCAAGAAAATGTGTAGCTTATGCTCTTGTCTGCAAATTTTTACTCTGTAAGCTAGCAAAGGTTGAAGTTTCAACTGATATCGATGTCCTTAGATTTATTTAAGGCAAGACAATTAACGTAAAATTCCGAAAATAAGCCCCTGTGCTTATATTTTTCAAAGGCCACTTTCAAGGGGCTTATGTTTGGAGGGGCTCATATTTGGAGAAGCTTATGTATGGAGGGAAATTTGCATTTAAAAATTAATTGGGCTAGCCTTCTTCCTGGGAGGAAATTTACCGATTTTCTTTGTTTTACTTTGTATTTGAGGGCAATTTCCAAGTACAAGCCCCCTGGAGGGCTTTGGAGAGGTGATTTAATGGAGGGTTTTTTGCATTACGAGTTTGGGGTCTGATATTTGGAGGGGCTTATACATTTAGGGGCTTATTTTTGGAATTTTACTGTATAATATGAATAAGAAAGCAGTGTGGTGTAATTTTTTATTCAAATTGATTAGTAGTTTTAGTTTTAGATACATTCACTTTTATGTAGCATGAAATCTGTACAAATTGTCAAGAATATATTCTAGTATTACTGTGCCTAGGGCTAAAAGGGTGAGTGACGGGCAAAACGAGTCTTAAACTGTAGCAAAAAATTACGGTACAAGGGTTTGATATTACAGAGAATGATTTTGAAGAGCTTGTTAGCAAGGGTCTTTTTTCATTAATTGCAGTAAGACTGCAAAAATCAGACCAACCTTTAGTGCTACATGATCACTCTGGCAACATTGGTTTTGTTTTGTTGTTATAGTGGCATAAGATAGAGTAATATTCTGACAATGCTTTCATTTTAATGCATTGCTATTAGTTGAAGAAATTGTTTAGAAGCAAATATTTTTGAATAAATAGATATTGCAATTTTATTGCTAATTCTAAATCATAAAAAATTTAATAAACATATATTGCATAAATTTTTTGTATTACCAGTATTTCCTAGATAGAAAGCTGGTTGGTTGGAAGCTTGAATTTATATCCTTCAAAACCAAGTTCAAGTGATGACTAATATGATTAATACAAAAAAAACCATGCAACTAGTTTGATATTGTGGTTTACTGGATTTCAGTCGGATGTGTGTTTCGTCAGCTTAAATTTGTAGTAGCTTGTCATTGTTACCATGGATAAAATTTAACTACAGCAAATACTTCATTTTTAATAACTGACAGTTCTTTGTACTAACAAATAAAACAGCCTCTTTCAAGCTTCGAGTGTGCGGCTATTTCTTTGTTGCAGTGCAATCATCATGTTGCTTGTCATAGAGTTTTCACTTTTCCCATCCTTTTCCATCAGTTACTGAAGTTGGGACGTTTTTGCCTGTGACTCATTGTAAACTGTGTGAATATGGCCACCTTTTCACCTCTTTGGATTCACCAAATACAGTAAAAACCCGCGTTATAAGAACCTAGAATTTTTTGAAGTCAGGCTGAGCAGGTTCTTATATTTTAGCATAGTTTTGCACAATTCAGGCTGATTAGGTTCTTATTTTTCAGAGGTTGTCGTAGTGTAACCATGCATAATGGCAGAAATATTGTACTACTACTACATAATGGTTTACAAAAAACCTATTTCTGGTGAAAATCCAAACAAATGTAAATCAAAGAAAACATACACAGTACCTTCTTGTCAGAAGTATCTCACACAATTAAAATCCAGAATTTTGACCATCTAAATTGCAGTGATTTTTTTGTATGAAAACCTATGTTTCTTTGCCGATCTTTACCAGGCTGAACAGGTTCTTATATTTTTGGGTATTTAAATGCCAAATTTCAGCCTGTAGGTTCTTAAATCCTTGCTCCTTTAGCCTGCCCCCAGCCTGATAGACAGACCTAGGTGGATGAATTTCACTTAACTGGCTCCACAGGTGCATAATTTCTTAAAGTATTTAGACAAAAATAGAACAGAACAGCTTACATTCTGCCTCAAGTTTGTGAGTATTTGATAAACTTCTATGCAGTTGTCTTGTAAAAATCTGCTATTGAAGTCATATTAATTATATTGTTATCCCCATCATGGATTATTTATTTGACCAATTCTACAACTTGATGGCTTTTTTAAGGTGTAAGAGAAATGTTACTTGAATCTGTGGATGAAGAGCTGCAAAATTAGGTATGCAGTAAAACCTCAATAAAAGGATGAAGCGATATGTGTTCCCTATGAGGAGATTTCATTATACTGAGGATCTTTTTTTCCGTGACCTGGGTGAAGAATGATGTTTGTTTTACCCTAGACTTCATTATATAATCCACTAGTTTGAGGGTATGCCTACTTTATATAAGCACATTTTGAACTAGTTGATTTTAAGGTCTTAAACTGATATCTTTACTGTGGCAGGACTTGCTCAGTTGGTAGAGTGCTTGACTGCGGAATGGGAGGTTGTTGGTTGTTGTTCGTTCGATTCCTGGGACTGGGAAAATACTGAGAGTCCTTGAACGGTCATTGTAAAACGCAGACTGCGGATTATTGTTTTCACCGTGCAAATGAGTACCTGACAACAATAGTCCCATTGTTTTCTAACCCTAAAAACAATGGTCCGCAATCTGCATTTTGCACTTCCCTGTCCTTAAATAGCTAAAAAATGAATAAGCTACTACCTTTGCCCTGCAAACGGCTAGACCTTTGTGTGGTTCAGATCACCACGAAAAATGGCAGTCCCATCCCCAGTAAGAGATACTGTAAGATTCCGAAAATAAGCCCCGGGCCTTATATTTTTCAAAGGCCCTTTTTGAGGGGCTTATTTTTGAAGGGGCTTATATTCGGAGGGGCTTATCTAGGGAGGGTTTCTCAAAATCGATTGGGCTAGCCTTATAGTTGGAAGTAAATTTACCGTTTTTGCTTTGTTTTACTTTGTATTTGAGGGCAATTTTCCAATTATTACAAGCCCCTAGGGGCTTATATTTGGAGGGGGGATTTAACGGAGGGTTTTTAACGTGACCTGTTTGGGGTCTTACATTTGGAGGGGCTTATTTTCGGAATTTTACGGTAACGTAAAGTATTGTCCTCGATAATTTGTTTTTCTTTGCTCAAATACTCAAATAAAGCGTGTTTTCTTTCTTGTTGTTTGTTTCAATGACTTTTTATTTGAAAAACATGCTGTTTCCATCATGGAGTGAAAGGTCTACATTTAAAGCTTGTTGTGGCTTTTCCAGTACTCAAAGCAGGTCACGGACCGTTATCAGTCTCATCAACCACATCCAGGGTCTTTGAGGAGCTAGTCATGATCGTAGTCTACGAACAAGTCTAATATATAGATTTAGCCAGGGCTAAAAGCGAAGCTCTCGTTAAAATCTATAGTTTACTAAACAAAATATAAAATTATGTAACGCCAAGCGGCGAAGGCAACGAAAACAGCCAAAAAAATAGGTAGGTCTAATTAGCCAAAAAAAAACTTTGTACGTGCAGCACACTTTTTTTCTAATTAGCAAACAACAACTTTGCAAGCTTTTTTTGTACATTTCTTTGTCATTGTTTAGCACGACTACAACGTGAAACTTCCAGAAACTTCCTAGTTACGCGTTTTATGGAGGAAATGTTGTATGTGTTTTTTTTCGCTGCCGCTCATTTTCACCTTAGTGGCAGCTAGCATTTCCCCTTTTTCTCACCACCGCGATAAATTTTTTATGTTTTTCTGCCAACGAAATTGATATCCTTTGGTGTTTATCTCTCGCTCTAGCTCTTTCTCTGTTGTCCACGTTAATGTAGACATTGAAATTAAGTCGAAAGAAAGAATCGGATTTGTTGTTGTTTTTTTTATCTCTAAAAGGCCGGGAAGCTATGCGATTACTTGAAATGCAACATCTCATCCCGGCTTACATGAAAGGGTGGACGGTAAGTACGTACGGATTCCGTGGATGCAATAGATTACGAAATTTTCTTACCCAGGGTGCTCCGCTGCGCGCGCGAGAGCTCCTCCATCACTATTTGCAGTGGTTACAAATAACATGTTAGAACCATGTCAATCTGGCTCTAGATTCCTTCTCTCAACAGTAACCGCCTTTCTTTATCTTACTAATCAATGGTGTTTTAATATAGACAAGGGAATGATAATTAAAGTGGAGTTTTATTTCTAGAAGTTAAGAAAGCCTTTGACACAATAGATCACGAGCTTCTACTGACAAAATTAGAGTTTTTAATATAT